TTAGTTGCTTGCTAGATCACTTGATTTGTTTGAAAATGTGCTTTGTGGTGTAAGTTTGAAAATATTTTGCAAAATGCCTTTGTTGCGGAGAACTTTGTAATGATTCTCGTCTCTATAAGAATGCGTACAAAGTGTTGGTTTTGAAAATAGTTCAAAGAGATGTTTCTTTTTGAAGATGTTTTTGAAAGTGTAAGTGTGGAAAATGGTTTTAGTTCAAGATCAAGCAACTATGAGCGTCCTACCTACTTAAAAGGTCTAATGTTCTTTCCTCCTCCTTTAGATGTTTCTATCTTACCATTGAATGATAAGAAGCTCCATCGTTGGATGTGAAGGGACGGGCGTGGGTCAATTGTATAGTCATATAAGGCAACCTATGATACGTTTTAGCAATTTCGTAAGAGACTAGATCGTTTACCGAAGGCAACATCGAGAGACATTGAGGGACTACGATCTTTTTACCGAGGGTCTTTGCTAAAACGCCCATATTCGAGGGAAATGACTATTTTCCGAGGCAACAAGTGAGATTATCCTAGAGGTGCATGTGTGTGTAGTGTGTTTGATTGCATGCATTTAGTCTTGAATTTGGGTTGTCTACTTGTTGATTTTAACTCTTGCCATACACAACCTAATTACTAGCATTTTATGAAAGCAATAAAAATGCGGAAAATAAATGTCCTACGCTATTACATATTTTAGCGATGGGGTGTACAAATTTACAAATGGGGATTTGCAAGAAATTAAATCCTAATTATCTATTACAACCATATTGAATTTGTACAATAATTGAAAGGAATAAAATGTACAAGGTAAAATGGAACAAGGAAAAAGATTTGTTTTGTTTTTGTTGAGAAAAGATTTTGGTTAAATAATTATGAAAATAAAATATTTTTTGTTATATTGTATATATTCATGAAATAAACGTTGCAAATAAATAGTGTGCAAGAAAAATCAACTCAAAAGGAGTTGTTTTGATTGGTTGAAAAATGTTGAAGTTTGTTAAAAAGAAAAGGAAACAAACAAATGATAAAAACTGTTTTGGTCCTGCCAAGGTTTGAACCCAGGACCTTATACATAAATGCATTTCGTGCATGCTGTTTGTACCACTGGATGGTCTGTTTCATCTGTTAGTTATACAATGTGCATTAAAGATCAAATGAACTCATGGCTTCCTCTTTTCCTTCGAGCGCAGGGATGTCTAGCTTATTTGTTAAGATTCGAAAGGCTTCACCCTCAACCAATCGAAGGATGTAAAAAACCTACCTAACATGTGAATATAAATCTAACTAGGTAGCTTTCGAAAGCTACAGAACAGAGGTTAACACAAGTTTGTTTGGTACCAAAATCAAGGCCTAACTAGTCAGAGTTGTAATTCTCAACATATAAGCAGTGATAATCGAAACTAAGAGCATGTTCAACTTCCTAGATATGATGTCTATATTTTTCTTTTACTTGTGTATACAAATGATGTTTGAATAAAAAGTCTCAAATTTAAGAGAAACTTACCTCTTGGAGCGAAACTTGAGGTACTTCGACAGAGCCTCCAGGAACTGTTTGATGATGGATTATGCCTGCTTCAACCTCCCTGAAGCTATTCCAATTATCACTTTTCTTTGAAAAAAATCATTTGAATCGAAGGTTTGGTATATGGTATTTAGGATTGAATCGAAGGTTGGTACATAGGAGTTAGGAGTGGATCTAAAGGCTGATGTATGGAGTTAGGGGAGGGTGAATCGAAAGACTCACTAACGTATGAAGGGATTTGTGATCTTTGAGAGTTTGAGAATGTTTGAGAGTGTTTGAAGATTTTTTTCACACAACTAAAGTCTACTCAGCCACCAAAAATCCAACCCTTAGATGTGTTGTGGAACCTCTTATTTATAGATGAATTTTGGCTGAGGTTTGGGAGGGGGGGGGGGGGGGGGGAACAGATGAAATTTGAAAAAATTGTGTATGCTCTTTTTGTAGCTTTCGAGGTGCAGTTTTTGTATGCCAATTTAGTGCAAATATGGGAGCAGCATAGCAGGACTGCTTTGCAGCAGTTATGGAGTGTTGTGGTCAGTACAGCAGGCCTGGGCTTGGCAGCACATTGGACTTTGGTTCGAAAGCATCTTGAATATAACACATCAAAATACAAAACAAAACTTGCTTCCAACAATTGTGTCCTTCGAATGGACCACATGTGTGTTCTTTGAATGCACCCCTTGTAATTCTTCGAATAAGGATTAATGTTTTTCTTTCGAATGGGACACCCATGTATGTCCTTCAATTCCACCAATGCATGTCCTTCGAATAGGACACCCATGTATGTCCTTCAAATCCACCAATGCATGTCCTTCGAATGGGACACCAATTGTGTGTCATAGTGTAGAAACTATGTGTGTCGAAGGTTTTTAAAGGTGGAATCGAAGCAAGCTATTTCAAAAGGGTGCCACTGTCTTTTGGGTGCTAGCATGAAAGAAGTCATTGCCTTGTGTATAAAAAAAACATGCAGGAGGTCATTGCTCAATCGAAGCTTGCATGCAGATAACCATTGTCCAATCAAAGCTTGCATGCAGGAGGCCACTGCTTTATGGGTGATAGCATGAAGGGAAGAATTGCCTTGTGCATTAAAGGAAAGCACGAAGGAAGCCATTTCCTTGTGGGTTGAAAACAAGCACAAAGGAGGCACTTTCCTTGTGGATCAAAGCAGACACGAAGGAAGTACTTGCCTTGTGAATTGAAGGCAAGCATGTAGGAAGTATTTGCCTAGTGAATCGTAAACAAGCCTGAAAGATGTACTTGCCTTGTGAATCGAGAGCAAGCCTGAAGGATGTACTTGCCTTGTGAATTGAGAGCAAGCCTGGAGGATGTACTTGTCTTGTGAATTGAAGGCAGGCATGAAGGAAGTACTTTCCTTGTGAATCGAAACAGGTTGCTTCGAAGAAAAACATTGCCCCATCGGAGCTTGTATGAGGATAGCCATTTTCCAAACGAAACTTGTATGAAGATAGTCATTGCTTTGTGAATCAAAGCAAGCATGTAAGAGGCCAATGCTCAATTGAAGCTTGCATGCAGGAGGCCAATGCTTTGTGAAGCAAGCATATAAGAGGCCAATGCTCAATCGAAGCTTGCATGCAGGAGGCCACTGCTTTGTGAATCAAAACAGTCCAGTAGGAGGCCACTGCTTTGTGAATCAAAGCAGGCCAGTAGGAGGCCACTGCTTTGAATCGAAGCAAGCCAGTTTCAAAGGGAGACATTGCCCAATCGAAGCTTGTGGACCAAAGCTTGCTCGAAGGGGACCTAATGCCCAATCGAAGCTTGTGGACCAAAGCTTGATCGAAGGGGACCAAATACCCAATCGAAGCTTGTGGGACATAGCTTGATCAAAGGGGACCAAATACCCAATTGAAGCCTATGAATTAAAGCAGACTTGCTCTTCTTTGATTTGATGCTTGAGAGCCTAATGTGATCCATGGAAACTTGTGCAGTCTTGAACCAGTAGAAACTTTGTGAGAAAAATCTTGAGAAATGAGAGGGAAAATTTTGGAGTACAACAATGAGAAGGTAAAAAAGAAATAATATACGAGAGTAGAGATTAAAAAGAGAAACAAGATGTATATGACGAAGAAGGCTTGATAATGCTATGAGAGATTTGAGAAGATCGAAACCGAAACAATAAGTATTAAGCGAAGAAAATTGTTTGTAATCATAGGGTTAAGGTATAATACAATTTGATTCGGTTTGGTTCAGTTTGCAAAATTCAAACTGAATCGTGCAGTTTTTTTAAAAGATGACCCAAAGAAATTCGAACCAAATACGATTTTTTGTAGTTCGATTTGATTTGGTTTAATTTGGATTTTCTATAGAATTGATTCGATTTTGAACAACTCTAACATGCAGGAAGGCTACAAAATTCAATTTATGATTCATCCGCGACATAAAGTTTCTTATCTTAGATGGATCTCAGACATCGTCCTTATTCACTCGCGGCAAGAAGTTTCTTATCTTAGATGGATCTCGCAAATTATCCTTACCACCACCTTCTTCCATCACCTGAACTCACCATTCATTCACTTAATCTATCAGATTCCTCCGCCCGTCACGGTCTCCGAAAACCACAATTTTTTCATTAAAATCTAACTTTCAAATAATTATATTCATTTCTTCATATCATAAAGCTAATAAGTAAATTAAATAGCAGTATTCATCCTAAATTAATCATAAAATTTAAAATTTTAAAATTCAAAATCTTAAATATTAAATCATTAAAACAAGAGTAAATAGTTATTTATCCTTTATAGGATATTTTTGATTTACTCCATTTAAAAAAAAAATCGATTATCCTTTATAATATTTAAGATATCCCAAAGCGCGTAAAAATGAGGGAGTAAATAATTTTTTTTATAATGGATAATATTTATATTTAAAAAGTAAAAGACTTAAAATTTTAACATTCTCTTGTGATCAAACATTTTTTTAAAAGAAAAATAAATTAAAACTCATCTATACTACAAGAGATAAATAACTATTATACTTTAAAATAATATATTATCTTAGTAATAAAATCAATAAAAAATAAGTATCTTCCTTTTGAGATTTGAAACTTCTAATGACTAAAGTTGTGAAGTGAAAGAAAAATACTAATAATATTTATTTTTAAAATGTTAATTAATTAATAGTTGATATTATTCCGTTTAAATTCTAAATTGAATTACTTGGGAGACAAATCCTTTCAAAACCTAAATCCCGTACACAACCTTAATGCTGGGTGACAGATGACTGAAACAATTGCACACACAACACAACCATTTATAGTACATATATAAATATGTTTAACTTAGAAAAAGTAACCATAAGGTCACTATAGTAATTTACACACATTATTTCAGTACAAATTCAAAATACTTCCAAAATCACAATAACACATAGGAAAAACAACCATGCTGAAAACACAGCTTATAAAAGCACATAATATCTCTCTCAAGAGGAAAAACACACAGACACACATACTAACATGTATCTCAAGCATCATTATGTCCTAAAAGTGCCAAAAGCATTTTCTCATAGTCACCAGTTGTGTCCTTCACAATGGCACGGTCAAGAGGGACACTATCCCTCCTTTGATACTCATCAGCCACAATTTTCAAGTCAATTTCAGCTCTTGTTGCCACAACTCTTGTAAGAGCCCCTTCATCCGTTCCGTGCTTATTGATCGACAGACGAACTATCTTCGCAAAGTACTTCTCAGGACGAGTCAAGCACTTGACAGTTGATCTCAGCAATGACAGAAACTCGTCTTTTGGATCTTCCTTCAGGTCCTATCAAAGTGTCTCAAAAAAAGATTAATACAGTTATTCTTAATCAGTTTTTGTAAAACAAGAAAAATGTGAGAACTAGTAGTACTCTACTAACCTTGTTTATATCTTTTCCAAATGCATCTTTGTAGTGATTCAAAGTAGCATTAACTTGTGCTTTGCTCCTTGTGGCCAGAATCCTAATGAGATCGTCGTCGTTATAAGCCTTTTTCGAAATCTTTTCGTGAAGTATCTTTGCCTCAGCTTTTGCTATAGTCAAGTTCACTTCATCTCCTTCATAGCGGTGAGAACTAACCAGAGGCAATAGGAGCTATATATACCAACAAAAAATAAGCTAACTTTGATATTTTGAGTGACACAAAATCTTAAATCACACATATAGCTCAAATTATTCATTATCTTGATACAAAATTTGTAATCAATTTTTGTTTCAACTTACAACTAACAAGTTTATGATGGAGAATTTGTACCTTCCGGTAGTCTCCAGTTGTGTGATGAGCAACATCTTCCTCAATAGACTTCTTATAAAGAACATGATAAGCCTTCTTTGCAGAAAACAATTGATCAGAAGATCTAGTGCAAGCTATTTCCACCAGAACTTGATTGCTCGATGTCCATTTTTTCGTTGCTTCGTTCGCCAAAAAGGCATCGCGTTCTGCGGATTCAAGCGCCCAAAGATGAACTAGTCTCTGCGAGGAGAACATTCAATGTGCATATTATTCTCGTTATAGAACGGTTTTCTTATAAGTTTTCATTACCAAACATGTTACATCATGCCTCCCTCTTAAATTAATCACTGGTGCTAAAGCTAGATTTTCACAATAACTTAAATGTGCTCATCTAAGTATATACAAATCAAATGAGATCATAATATCTTAATTTATGAAACATATTATAACCAAAAAAAATGACACTCACACCGGAGTACACAGACTCTAACACCGGACATGACGACACTGACACCTTGATAATAATTAAAATAAATAAATAAATTGTAATTATAAAGTGTTGGAGCTGTGTCTAAGTCCAACATGAACACAGACACAAACACGCCTTTTTGGTGTCGGTTCCACAAAGATCTTAATTATAAAGTCCCTTAACTGACCTCAAAGTCACTGGTAAGCTCTTTGTCCAAGGCCTTAAGGAGATCTTCTCCATAAGTCTGAGCATAAGTTTCTCTGATAGCCTTCCTCTGACTAGCATTCCTATGACCCAAGATCGATATAATCAAATCTTCATTGGTTCCCCAACCTACAATCAAAAAATCAAAATCATCAATTAGAAATTCAATCAAAATCAATCACCAGAAGAACATAATAACACCCGATCCTCAAACACAAATGAAAAAACAATACATCAGCCTAATGACTTGGTCGCACTATACGGAATCTGATAATCAGATTTCGCGACAAAGTCATCCATCTGGATCAGATAAAAAAAGATCAAGACGGTAAGATCTAAATCAACATAAGATGGTTAAGATCAATACAATTCTGCAGTAATATACTAATATACATGGATCGAACCATCATGATATGAAGAAGAGGACTGTGATTAAAGGAAGAATAACCTGAAAAGGCTTTGCGGAGCTGCTCAACGTCATCGGAGACAGGGGGAAGAGAATGAGGAACTGTTAGGGTCGACATTGTCAATTATTGTTACTATCTATTTCAGACACTCTTTGCTCTGTTTTATGATGTGAAAATGGGACAGCGCGAAATAATCGTGGTTGTAGTAAAGTCAAATTGCGGGTCCCATATCCTTCCATGTTTGTAATCACACATATAGCTTTATTGTTGAGTCGCCACGTAACATGTTCTCCTGATTTTCCGATAAGAGAAATTATTATTTATCCAACTTTAATTGATTGACTGAAAAAGTATTTTAAAAAAAATATATACTTACCTATCATGAGGCATGTTAAAATATACTAATATCTCCTCTAATTTTTAAATATTAATTTTCTGTTTATATATATATATATATATATATATATATATATATATATATATATATATATATATATATATATATATATATATATATATATATATATATATATATATATATATATATATTATTAATTAACAACATCAATATTTAAACACAAAATCAACTAAAAAAACAATACAACACTATCCATTTGCCATTGCGTTTCTTCCGTTACAAAACTTTAATCTTTCTTAAGCAACGATTGATCCGTTCATGATACTTACGACAACCCTTTGTACATTAGGATCAAAGTTCTTTGATGGCCGATCACGAATATAAAAAGCTAGTTTATCCTCTTTTTCAAGCTTTCTGTCATTTGCATAATCATACCTCCCCTTGCTAATTGACCTTTCCATACAGTACTTTTTTTCAGCATAATGCAGTTGACCCTTATATATTTTCTTCTTATCGGAATCTCGAAGCTCGACGCGTTTATGACCCACTTGCAGGTAGCTGTTTATAACTTTTTGGCGAATTTACTGCACATAAAAAACAGCTTACATTACACAAATATAATGGAATAACAAAATTATATTTAACTTATACAATCAATACGAATGTCACGATACTTACTAAAGCATCTTTGGCAGCCGTCTTTTCAGAATTGATTTCCTCTATCCAAAAGAAATACTTATGATCATTCTTGTGTTTGATTACCACAGGGTCACGACAACAATTTTTTGTAATAGCTATAACCTTTTTCCCCTTGCTATTATGGAGTTTTGGATTTAATCCACTACTTTCAATCAATCACATACATGAAAATATGTTAATCCTAATTTATCGTCACTACTTAATGCAACAAATGATAACAACTTTCATAATTTTTACTAAACGTTTCTTACCTCTAGCCTTATTTCAAAGCTTGACTCAGACTCTCATCGTGAGTATGACCTTTTGTATCTTCACAAGATTCCCTCTCTTTGCTTTTCCGTTAGCGTTTTCTCTACCACCAACTCCTCGAATCTTCAACTTCAAACACTGAGAAGTGAAAATTTCTCATTTTTGTTTTCAATCTTCTTTAAATTGGGTCTTCTCCAATGCCACAGATAACAAACTGACTCTGGACAATATTTTTAATTCCATATTTGGATGAAGCTGTTTGAACCCTCTGAGAAATAACATCAGAAAAATAACATGTATAGCGAAATCTATCATAAGAATTTCATGAATAAAACATGCAAAGTATCTAAAATCAAGAATTTTACGTTTGACGCCCCCTTAGCGCACCTCTGGTCGTCATTTTTAGATGGATGCTGACTCTTGCGGTGACTCTTCTTCAATAGCAAAAATACTTCCTCAAGCGTTTGCACTTCTTCTTATTATCCACCCTTCATCTTAGGCCGGTCCGTCGATGCATATTTCTGGCTCAAATGATTTTGTTATTAAGATAATATTATTTTCATTTCAATTTCTGACCCACAATTATTTTATGATATATTCTGTCTATATTATACTAATAAATTTCATTACATAATCTACTTTATTTTTCATATTTTATTACTTTTTTAAAATATTTTTTATTTTATTTAAATCATAATTATTTATTGTTAAAAAAATTTATTCACAACATTCTTTTTTTAATATTAATTATATTATATAAACTTTAATTATTTCTATCTTTCAATTTCTATTTTTTTTCATATTATTTTTTTCACTATATCCTATTAACTAACTTTATTTTTGACAGTAGTTAACAATTATTAAATACTAATATCAAACTAATTTAAATATTACATTTTATATTTATATTTTTTTAAAATTTTTTTTCTAATTAAACAATTAAAATATTTTTCTTTTAATATAATTCACGTCTGTATCATAAACGCTTTTCTTCAAGTTACAAATTATATCATTGATGTACATCTTTTTATAAACAAAAATTTACTATTGATTCAAATATATTTATTATAGTAACGTAAACAAACATAATTTTAGTATTCTAGAAAAATTTCTTATATTTATCTTATTATTTTTATATGTAAAATCTGATATTTATGATCCAAATATTCATGATCTACATAAAGATTTTATTGAAACAATTGCGCATATCAGACTAGACTGTGCGAACGCACAAATTTGTTACTAGTTTAATAAGAGAAATTATTATTTATCCAACTTTAATTGATTGATTGAAAAAATATTGTTAAAAAAAGGAAAATACACTCATCTATCATGAGGCATATTAAAATGACACTAAAATCCCCTCTAATTTCTAATTTTTAAATATATATTGACCTCCTTCGAATTTTATTAAAATAATACCGATGTTTCTATAATTTTTAATGACAGTCAAAACCGTAAATATAAATACATTTACCTATAATTTTTAGTCTATCATTTCAACTTTCTATTTTATTTATATATATATATATATATATATATATATATATATATATATATATATATATATATATATATATATATATATATATATATATATATATATATATATATATATATATATATATATATATATATATATATATATATATATATATATATATATATATATATATATATATATATATATATATATATATATATATATATATATATATATATATATATATATATATATATATTGGAGAGGTTAGTTCATGATTTTAAACTAAAGAGAATGTCAATGTCTTTTTTAATAAACCTCAATTAAAACAAAACATTAATAAAACATAAAAATAATTTATAAAAGTTAATTTAAAGGAAAAAGTTAACATCTATTTTAAAAATATAAATTAATAAATTATTTGTAAAAATATTCTCGCACGCATTCAATATATTAAAACTTTAAATATAATTTTAATATATTTAATAAAATTTAAATTTTTTTAATTATAATATATTAATATATTTTATAAAGAGCACATGTTAAGATGATCCAAATTTAAGTACTCGATGCAATGCTTGTTGGGGAATAGGTGAAGGGAGAGTTGGTTAATGTTGGTAGTTTATTAGTGGATAAGAGTGTCGGCAAGGCAAGTATACCGAGTAATAAGACAAATGAGCATTTTGATTAAATTTTTCAGAAAAGTACTATATATCGGTTAATAATAGAGTTAGTGCTAATTTATTGACATGACAACATTTTTTTCTTTCTGAAATAGACAAAAAAAAGAAGATATTAATATGATAAAATGTTATCCACTCAATTGCAAAGTGTATTTAAAATGAAAATGAAAATATAAAATCTAAGATGTTCTAATATAAACCAGAAAGATAGACGAGTTCCTCACAAATATGGTTACCTCTGTCCTAATTATTGTCTCTAATTATAATATTTTTTTGAATTTTTCTTCTCTCTTTTTATAATATTTTTTTTTCAATTTTTAAAATATATTAATTATTTTTTTCCAAATTTATTTTTAATTATATTTTTTTTATAATAATTATATTGACGGATTCAAAAATAAAATTTGGTTATGTATCTGATTTTGAATTTTGATGATAACAATATATAAATAATAAACAATAATTTAGTATCCTAATGATTTGTTTAGTGTGTAGCTTTTGCTAACAAATTCTAATTCTGAAGAATTAACGTGTGACATCATCAGATTCTGGACATATCACACTAATAATTACAAGTGCGTGTGTCATTGTGTAGAATGCTTCTTAAAATAACGGTTTTGATGAACGTTAGTTTTATTGTTTTAACTATGACTCTGTAGTAGAGCTTATGATATGTTCTCAAATTCTGAAGATTTCAAGTTCTTTTGCCAAAGTTCCAAAGATCCTAAAGACGAGGTTCTCTTGAACGAGTTCTGAAGATTCTGAAGACCAACGGTTCTGATGACCAACTTCTGAAGATTCTAAAGATAATGTTCTGTTGAACGAAGTTCTGAAGACTCTGAAGAAAATATTGTGAAGACTATGAAGACCAAGTGCTGAAGACTTTGAAGATAAGATTTGGGTTGAATAAGTTCTGAAGACTCTGATGACATGGTTCTGGAGACTTAACTTTGATCCCGCATGCTTCAACCATTATACATCCAGAAGCCTCTGAAGATTAGAAGAGAATATCAAAAGGTTTCATGTGAGTATTAGTGCAAGGTACAACATCACCTCGCCTCCACTACTCTGCTATTGAGGCGCAAGGACTGAACTATTGGTACTATGTTGTCTACCAGTCACACTGGCCATTGCAAGAAGACAAATGGAATTTTGTTAATCCTATTCTACCCTCTAACAAATTTCTTTTTGCCTATAAAAGGAAGACTTGAAAGAATTGGAATCGTTGAACAACTTTGAAGAAGCTCATGTTTATTTAGATTGCTGAAACGTTGCCAAAATAACTGTAATTTTTGTAAAGCAAACAACTTGTATTCATTAACTTGCTAGCAAGGAATTCTTGTTCGTTAACTTGCTTTTAACACTTTTGTGTTGTTATATGTACTTCAATCTTGTGTAATTGGCTTTTAAGAAGCAATCTTGTAAACATAAAAACTTGTATTCAAGAATGAGTTGATTGTTCCTTGAGTGACTAAGTGTTAGTCTGTATACTCAAGAAGTTATTAATAGTTTGTCTTTGAGGTTTTGTTCCTTGAGTGACTAAGTGTTAGTCTGTATACTCAAGAAGTCATTGAGAGATTGTCTTTGAGGTGTTGTTTCTTGAGTGACAAAGTGTTAGTCTGTATACTCAAAAAGTCATTTACAA